CTGACCCCCACTCCCGACGAAGCTTCCCAAGCAATAAACACTGAGGAACCCTTAGGGCCCCTGTTGGCCCTGGAGCTTAACCTTTCCGCAGCACAACCCATGGCCCACTTAACGAGCTCCTGGGGATCAGTGATTCCCTCTGGTAACAGCTGCTCTCGTGGCTCGGCTAAATTACCCCCACATTCTACGACCTGGCCATCCTGAACAGCCTGGGCCACCGCATAAAGCAACACAAACCGAAGGTCCAAAACCAGCCTCTCTTCGGCGTCTCCTTGAAAGGCCTTCGAACCCTCCCCAGAAACTCCGTCACTCGGCTCATTTACAAAGCCACCTACAACCCCCGATAGGGTCCAACGCAGTAAGTGACTAAACACACAGGCACTCCCAAGACCCTTTTCAGAATTAGGAACCCGAAGTACCCTTCCAGACTCTTTCCACCCACCGGGTCGGCCCGAGCAAGAAATCAGTACAGATTCAGAACGTCCCTTGTCAAGGGACCGGCGCATCCTTCGGTTCCGCGGAAAGTCAGCCCAATCAGGATGCTCCGCGGAGGCCGATTGCACACAGGCTCGCGTAATCACGCTAGTGGACACTGAAGGAAACAAGCTTCGCAGAAAGGCAAACTGAGAACCTTCATCCAGGCCTCCCCTTGCACTTCCAATCACCCTTTTCCTAAACCAGTCCCGGACACACCTCCTATCTATCTCCTCCGGTGGGTCAGCAATCCCAACCTTACCCAAAAACTTTCCTTCCCTAACCAACAACTCGTACTTCTCCAACAACCTCAAACCTACCTCCCTTGGTATCAAAGGGCAACCCTTCACCACCTGCACAGCAAGGCGTCCCTCTTTAGGATGTCGAATAATGCAGCCCCGCTTACGCCACGAAATGGCAAACCCTAGCTCCACCAAATACATGGCTGGCAGTATAACTTGACAAGGTCCCGCATGAAGCAATGTGCCATAGCTATTCACCCTCAACTCCGTCCCTCCGCTCGCTAAGTCGACCTTGATAACCTTGCAACCCTGAATCTCATCATTGGTCGCCGGCCGCAGTGCGTTAGTCGCACCACTGTCGACCAGGCAGAAAAGCGGGTCCGACGCGCTTGTCAGGGCACTTTTAAGCCAAGAAGGGTCCACACTAGGAACTTCAGGTCTAAGGGCCTTAAGGGTAACCCCCTTAAGCAACTTCGCAGCCTCGGCTAGCAATGCTTCCTGCGTTACTTGGGTTCCTGTCCCAGCCGTGGCCCCGGATGCTGACGCCGAATTTCCGTCACCCCTCGATTCTCCTTGCTCCGTAACCCCTTTCGCCTGAGCCGCCTTGGCCTTAGGCTTAGCCTTAGGTGCACCCTTTGCAGCTGGACTAGGAGACTTGGGAGAAGAATCCGAGGTTGACTCCTGGACCACACGATGCTCAGCCGGCACAACTGGACAGTCAGGACGATAATGGCCCGACTGTCCGCAAGCAAGGCAACGACTCTCTTTCCTCGCTTTAGCCCTATCATGCTTAAACATACACGAGTCTCCAAACCGGCACCCTGAAGCGTCGCTAAACTTATGGCACAATGCCGTCCCATCCGCCGCAGCCTTACCTTTGCCCTTGCCCTTTCCTTCGGAACCTCCTGCATTTGCGGCCGCTACAGACGCACTCGCACCATTTCCAGCAGCAGGAGATGTTGGTGATGGGGCCGCAGGCGGTTTGGGAACTGGTGGCGTAGGAGCAGGGGTACTCATGGCAGCAGTTCTAGTCCTCTTATCTCCGCTGCTGGACGACTCTACCAAAGCTGCAGCTTCACTCTCAGCTTGCAACAATCGCACAAGTTGTGTAACCCCTACGGTAGTAGGGTTGTAATCTAGTGCAATACTATGTCTGAATGAGTTAACCCTAAACCCGATCATTGGGCTATTCGCCAACAACGGCGCCGTGGCGGAGTCTACTCCCTTTAACAGAAGAGAAGCGTCAGGTAACGTCGCCTTAATTTCACTTGCTCTCTGTAACGACTGCTGCCACTTCCTAAGCACCTTTATGGCCTCTTGAAACCCTTTACATGGCTCAGGGGAAACCAATTGCCCTAGCAACTGTGCTCTTTCACTCGAACCCCCAGGTTGATAAGCGCATAAAATACGGAACAAGATCGCCGCAGTACTAAGCCAACGGTTCGTAATGATGTCATCCCGCACCGAGTTTGGAACCGACGCCAAAAGCAAGGTAACCGCCCTCGATTCTACACGCTGAAACTTATGGGCATCAAACGCCGCAACAACCGAACTGGGATCTAGTCCTAGCCGTCCTAGCGGGTCCGCCACTAGCCACCTAGAATACCCTTGATGAGCCGCTAGCTCTACCGCACCATACCATACATCCGCCGAAGGAGAAAGGCCCATAAAAATCTGCTTAACTTGCGCCAACCAGTTTCCGCATACTATGGCCGAGTTGGCTAGGTCCGCTTGCGCCAACTTAGGGATCTCACTTATGTACTTAGCGGGTTCTTCAGGCCTAGTTTCCCCAGAACCCGACCCTTGCCCTGGAACCGAGCCACCTAGACCATACACCCCAACTGCAGGGTAACCCCCAGAACTCAAACCCGAGCGCAATCCCGGTTCCATCCCTCCCGGTAGGTATCCGAAGGTCCCAGGCCCTGGTAAAACTGGTCCCGGACCCGGTGGGCCTGCAAGCATCCCTGGAGGCGGCCGCGGCGGGGCCGGAGGCGGTAGCGGCGGGGGTCGTATCACCGTGCCACCAGGTGACAAGGGATACCCATTAGGGTCAAAGGCAGGACCGCTAACCCCGGACGACCTTGGAGTCTCAAAACCCAAAGCCTCACTCGCAAACTGCCTCATAGACTGCGTCCGACCCTCACCTTCGAGACCACCCCGAAATGGAACCATAGCAGAAGGTGGACACCCCCCCGAACATTGCTGAGGCTGCCCCACAGAACCCATGTCTAACGCAAGGGCACCTTCACACCTCTGGGTAGCCTGTGGCCTCGGTACTCCCGCGGCGGGTAAAGGATTCGAGTTTACATCTGCCCTACCTAGGTACCCAACATCACTCTTGAAACCCGGGAAATCCGGAAACCAGGCACCTTCAGGAGGCACCGCCTGTACAAGGGACTCAAAGCCTCTTCCAGGCCCTGTCACCTGGGATCCAAAAGGCATCGAAAACGACATTGGCGAGCCAGCAGTCATTCCCAAGTCACCTTGCGTGCCGCTGTGCCAAGAAGAATGCGACCGGAGTTCCACTTGCTCCAATCGCCGCTTAAGGGCACGATTCTCCTCCATCATCTGTACCAGCAACGCTTCGACATTCAGGGAGGACCTTTCCTCAGGAATGAGCTCATCATCCCCATGTACTCCGGCCTGACCAGATGAAGTAGTCTCCCTCGGACCCTTCCCAGCCTCTGCAAGCTTAGCACCCTCCACGACGCTCTCAGCAAATCCGGCCAAAGCTCCACCATGCCAGTCCGCAGTCACTGCCACGTCCTCGGCGCCAGCCGAAGGTTCCACCCTCGCTATCCTAGGGCCTGTAGCCCTTTCCAAAGGTTCAGCACTTCCTTCACCCCCAATCGTTTCCGCATGATTGGGTTCCGCCCCATTGTCACCAACCCAATCTCCTTTTGCAGTACGATCTCGGGTAGCAAGGATTCTTGCTTCATCCTCATCTAGCGATAGGGGACGCTGCTGTCGCAGAGCAATCTCGTTCTTGACCTTTTCGCTGTGAAACGGACTCGCGGACATACCCGCGCCAAGGGAGGGACCTGGTCCCCCACCCTGCTCCAGGGTATTGGGGGATGCTTCCCCCTGATAAATAGCCACCGGGACTTCAACATCCCCAGCAGCCCTTTGTCCTTGACTCAAAGCTGTCCTGTAATCGTCTTCCAGACGCATGCCCGTAGCCTCTTGGTCTCCAAGCGGGGCGGAAGCTCTTCGGTTACGCACCATGGGATCCATGACGCAACACTTCTACCCCTAGCCCAGTACAAGAAACTATACCCAAAGAGTTAACAATCCTAAGCCGACTACGGCTGATAACCTACGTGAATTAGATCAAAGAATCCGGAAATAGAAGAGCCCCGTAGAACACACTGAACCTGGAACTCGGACGTCTACCACTTTTCTTCGAGAAAAAACAGCCTTGTCGTGCCCGGGCATGGCTCCTGTGCGTCAGAGACATCAATCCACGCATCTAGGGTTTAGGGTTCAGGGTCTAGGGTTTAGGGTTTACGGTTTAGGGTTTACGGTTTAGGGTTAACGGTCTACAGTTTAGTTCAGGGTTGAGGGTTGGGGATTATGGTTTGGGGATTAGGGTTTGGGCTGTAGGGTTAGCCGAGACTCGGCCAGGACCCGGCCGAGACTTGGGCTGTAGGGTTTAGGGTTTGGGAGCCTGAAATTATGTTCTCTTTCGTAGCCGCCTCACAGTGACCGTGACTTGGCCGAGACTATCCACTGTGTGAGCCGAGACATCAAAAAAGACCGTTTTGATGCCAAAAAAAGACCAATTTGATACGCGACCCTAGGGCGGCGGCACCTTTCCGCTCCTCGTCCTCGGCCGACTTGGCCAGCCTTGACCCAAACCAAGTCCAAAGGAAACCCTCGGTCGCGAAGCTCCGAGAAACGTCAGTGTCCGGCAAGGGCCAACCAGTTCACGTCGTGTTCATGGCGTGTCTACTCCCTCGCCTCGCGCAAAGTGGGCCGTCCTGGCCCTAGACGTGTTCGTCTCGCCTCCTGAGTTGAGGGGCCCGCCTCTGGTGTGGCCAGGGAGGCCATGCGGTGCAGCTGAACATCTCGCCGAAACATAGCTACACAAGGCTTACGCTTCGAGCAAGCATGTAAGCTGCGGAGCATGGACCAAGACTCAGCCCTCCAAACGGACTGCAGTCTGCAAAGCAGGAGAGTTCGCCAAAGGCAAGGACCCCATGTTTACAGGGATGCACACCCCACTCTGCGAATCAAGATGCACGGTGCTTCGCAAATTCAGCAATGTCTCGCATCCCACCTCGCCTGTGCCAGCGGCACGGTTCCGGTACCAAAGTGCCTTCCGCATGTAATTACAAAGGATGCGCGTGCGAACTGTCCTCCAACAACCCCCAGGCCCCAAACAGACCAAAGGGCACCAAATCTTCGTCGGCCTCGGCTCTTTCGGCGTTGTCGTCTCCAGAACTGGTCGGGGCAAAGAGTGCGGTGGAGTGCAAGTGCCTTCCTACCTTTTTTCTTCACCGGTCTCGATGCACCTTAACGTCTTCATGCTGCAACAATCTGCAACAACTACTAGTATTACAGACAAAGTGCTTCGAGAACACCTCCCAACCAGCCTTACACTCTGGAAAGATGCTATCTGCTGCTATCTTTGCACTGTAGTGACTAGCAGCTAGACGCAGACAACATCCCACCTGGCGAACGCAAAACAGGCTCGCTGGTGACAATGGGCACACGCCTTCCTGGCATCCTGGCTGCAAGCTTGCTGAAACTGGCTGCAAGCCATCTGGTCGGCACAAAACTCGATCTGTCTTTCTCGAAGAGCAAGAAACCTGCTGCTTCTGCGATGGGAATAGACTTGAGCTGGTTCCAGCAGTGGAAATGACAGGAGAGCGCGAGGAGCGCGGCTGGAAGTACAAGCGCCTGGTCGCGGCAGAGGTGGCCGATGGAGGCGGCTCCTGTCGCTGCACTGCACGTCTCGCTAACTCCCGTGAGAGAATTTCAGCTGCCCGGGCATGACATTTGGGCACGTTCGCCGGAAAGTATCAGTGATCGCGTGCTTTCAGCACAAGTGAAGATGAATCGCAGGTGATCCAAATACTGGTATAGCCCAGGTCGCATCCAGACCTCCCTTACCAAAAGAAACCCTCTCTGATATAAGGCCATGCTAACCTTACTATGTCTCTGCATCTGCAAGGGTGACGAGATTGGCAAGGCCTGGCCACCTGATCTACCTGCACTGACAAACCGAAGACTACGATGTGCAAGACTGTTGCAAGCATTTCCATTCAGGCGGCTGCAACGTGCGTCGGAAAAGGTACTCGCACGCACACAACCAAGCTATCAACATGATCTGCATGTATCACATGGCGGGCATTGCTAGAGAAGCTGTCAACGCCGCAAGAGCCACGCCCACATGCGCCTGAGTCAGCATCGTACGATCAGCCAGTACAGGCATTGGTCAAACAGACACAGAACGAAGCAGCTTCGGAGAGTTTATATGTAGGTGTTAGAATTCTCGACCCAAGCTACTGGAGCTGCAAGGATCATCTGCGCACAGACTTCAAGAACAATTTGCTGTGCCGGGGAGAAGTCAACAAGATAAAGTACATACACACACACACACACACATGCACTGAGTCACTGAGGCATGTCGATGCCTCGCTACATGTCTTCTGCCTTGCTGAGGCTTCCAGGGCATCGGATGCACGGGACTGAGGCAGGCACCTATGATGACGGTCAGATTGCAATCCTGCAATGAGATCAATAAGGCCGTGCTGCAACGTTCAATGCGCGGTATCCAAGCGCCTTCACCGCCACCAGTGCCACTGTGAAGTTGATTCAGAAACATGCTGACATCGAGCATCAATGAAGCCGCTTCCCACCCTCAGCCGAGGCTCAACAAACATCGCATCCTAGGCCCCTCGCGACTCAGCCTCCGCCTGAGTTCTGTGCGAACAGGCGCAGTATCCGTCCTCCTGAGTGTCGTCGCTTGCAAGATCATGAGAGTGGGCTCGCACATGCATGATGACACTTTCGGCAATAAGAGAACTCCGTGTCACAAGCGACTATGTGTCGGAGGAGTAACGGAAGGGAGCCTCACCACAGCTTATAGCTTAGGATGCAAACACACTTCGTGGGCTAGCACCTTCGGGGTCTGACAGACTCAGTGGCTCTGGCGTAGCTGGGTTCTCTGCGCCAAAGGCCCATTCAGTTATCATTGAAGCCTATCTTTCAGTCGTCAAGTGTTTGCGGTCTAGATGCGCGAACACCGCGGGGGTACCGCCGGCGCTTACCACAGCCACTGATGGAGTTAGATTTGGAATCCGTGTTAGGTCCTCTCCCTTGCAAGAACGCCTTGCTTAACTGAATCTGTCACCATGCCGGAAAACTGCAGTCCTCACAGGACACATCCCCCAGTGATGTATTGCATGGGAGTGTCCTTGGCTCCCGCAGGTGGCATGAGCAGGAACACGTAGTAAAGCATGCAGCGCGGGAAGGTAATATCGTGCAGATCTAATCTGGAGCCAACTGATGCACTCAAATCGGGCGCAAGATGTCACCCACTGGGAACTGGGAAGCTAGCTCGTTGCAGCGGCTGCCCACATCTTTGACGACTTGGCAGCGGCCTCCGATGGCCTCGTCCGCTCTCGCCAGAGTACAGCGGCAAAACAGGCACACAGGGCCCTAGGGCTCTAAGCTTCTAGGGCAATCACGCAGAAGCCCGTCTTGCAAACGCATTCGCCGGCCCTTGACAAGCAGCAACTTTCACACCACGTCCCAAGCCATGTGACAGTGACGAGGGCCCCGCTGGCAGTCAACAGCACCTCTCGACGATGCACATCCCCAGAATCGACACCTGAGCTCAGAGAAATCACCTAACCACTAAGCTGTAAAGGCTCAGGGTGCAGGTCTTGAGGCGCACGCCCCCCGCCGGTCTTCTTGGCGCATGTCTGCTGATCCTTAGTCACTGCCCATGGTCAAGAGGGAGGAAGGGAAGCGTGAAACACAGGGAGCGATAGCAGAGGAACAAAGCAATCAGGTCAGGAGTTCTTGTGCGTGTCACTGATTCAACCTGCAAGTCTTCGCCGAGAAACCACGGGAATGCATTTTCCATCTCGTCCCCTCCAACCCTGAGCACAGATACACCTGGCACAAACTGACTTGTTGACTCCACCCTGCCAAGTGTGTCCCAGGATGCAGCACAAGGCCTTCCTCCCAGGCACTTGCTGGGGCCCACTTCCACCTGGTCGCAGACATGGTACCTCGGCTCTCGAAGGTGTGGAGATTCAAAGAGGAACATCTTTGGGTCTTTGGGATGATGAGCCCTTCACTTGCAGTCTGTACCAGAATATGCTTCGGTCAGAAGGTTGTGCCCAAGGGGAGTGGACAGCTCGTCTCGCCAGTCTCAGCGCACAAAGACAGTGTTAGCTGTTCCCGAAGGCTCCAGAAAGATTGTCCAAGGCCCAGTCCAAACGCGGACTTCCATTCCTGGGACACTACGGCATCCGCATGCGTCGTCTTGACCGGGAAATTCGCGAATCTCGTTCCGATGCCTGGTGATCGCTCGCATCACTCTCTGCATCGCTGCTGCCCTCTTGCCTGACAAGGCAGAAGCACTTGTGTTGCCCGCTTCGTCTCGCCTAAACTCTCTCAAGCGCTTGAGGCCGGAACACATCCACGGCAGCCGCAAATTGTAGAAACTGGAAAGCCTACTACAGCACAGCCCGAAGCGTCCTCTCCTACCACGAGTGGCTTGCCCTCGTGCATCTGGGACCGCTACGCATTTTTTGCCAGACGAGCACTCGGTATCCTTTCAGGCTACGAACCCACGGACGTATATAGGAAAGTCACACTCCATCAAAAGCCACTGCATGCTATGTGCCGGAGGCGGGCCTGCTGCAGAGCATCACCCAAGCGTCTCCTCCAGAAAGCCAGGAAGCTCTCATGCTCGACTCGTCAAGGCACGGCGGCACGCCCAAGCTCCCGACTCGCTCTGGCCGACCTGCGGATTCAACAGGACCAGTGCCAGTCCCGTTGGCCAATGCCGGCTGCTTCTGACCCGATCCAAGCCTCGTAAGCGGGAGGGGCCCCCAGCAAAACCTTGGCACTGCTGCACTGCTGCATCACACATCAGTGAATTTCGCCCTGAAAGAGCCCTTCCAAGCATCCTGCGAGCGGCCAGAGCCCGAGCCAGCATCTCATGCGTGACGACATGTAGCGAAGCTCGAGTCGCAATCGGCAATCGTCGTACTTCGCTTTTGTCGTTGTTGCTCAGGATAGAAGTCTTTGTTACAGCTAGATTCAAGCATTGCTTGTGGACACGTGGTGTGCCTCCGAAGCGACAGGGAGCTAATCCATCAATTCTTGGGACCTGTATGTATGCCTGTATGTACTGCTTCTGGACTGAAGTGATTCTGACAGTATGTGCGCCCCACATCGAACCTCAAACAAACCCCGGAGCCAAAGTGGACTGTGGGCATGAGCAGCGGTCCCCCTTGCCAATGAAAAACAGTGGATTGAATCCGGTCGAGGTGTTGAGGTCCTCTCATCGAGGCCCCACTAGACAAGCACACATCCCCTGGATGTCCATCGTCGACCGCTGTGCCGTTGCCTCTGAGGATTCCATTTTCGAGCCGACCTGGCAGTTTTGCTCAGTGGGAACAGGAGCATCTCTGACTCAACTGCAAGTGTACTAAAATGATTGGCATGCTTTCGCACACCGAGAGGAGCTTTCCGAAAAGAAGGGCTCTTCATGAGCTCCGTGCGGCTTGCGCTGGCAGCTTGGCATGCGTCTCCTGGCTGCGAGCAGCGACTACCAGAGCCTACCGCGAAATTTTTGGAGTCCTCGGATGGATCCACGTAGAGCCGGCTGCGCTTCGGCATGGCCGCCATCTGCACACCGTGCTAAGCTCCCCGGGCCTTTTCTACCGAGTACCAGCCTTCTTGCGTTCCTCAGCTTGTCTCCGAAGGGCAGCATTGCGAATCGGCTCCATGGAAGACCTGAGAACTTGGCGCTGCTACTTAGCCACTGCTCCTAGTCCTAGTTTGTGCCAATGCGATTCGATAGACTGTTCGGCTGAGTCGTGCCAGAAGGTCGAAAGGGCGAAAGCTTTGGATACGGTGAATCTTGCCTTTCGTGCATGCTGTGGCGGGATCGGTCCAGGATATCTTTACGTCGCTGCAGTGTCTTGCAAAGAGTGTAGCATGATGCAGCATGGTTCAAGCATTGCAAGAAGTCTTCTAAGAAAAGGGCAACTGCTAGATTCCTGGATTGGAGTTGAGGGCAAGGCGTCAGATCGAGAGGCTCCAAATCCTTGGGTCCAATTCTGACCTCGGCTCGGAGGCTCGTAGGCTCGTAGCTGGCACAGGCACTCAGGCCGGGGGCTAAAGCCCGAATGGATCCATGGGAAACCACTTGGCAACGCACGGGTCGGATGTTGTCGAAGAGCCGAGGCTGATTTCGAGCCTGATGGAAGCGAGGCCCCTCTCGGAGCCTCAGAGCCTCAGAGCCTTCAGCCTCCGGCCTGACCCCGTTCCAGCATATCGGTGGACCAGCGCTTCACCGTCTTGCTGCCCAGCTCGGTCTCAGGCAAAAACCGTGTGAGGGGGCGATGCGTTTGTTTCAGCCGTCCAGCCTGGCGGCCCAGGGTCATCTTGCCCGCGGCCAGCGCTTTGGCGGAGTCTGACAGGAGCGCGGAACGTTGGAGCGTCTTCGCATCGCGACTTAACGTGGCCTGGCATCACTTCGTAGGTCTCCCTTGGTTCCTCTCCGAAAGGTAGCTCGGTGACTTTGAACGCGGGCTCGCTGTGGTTCCTGCATGTTCTCTGTCGAAGCAGCATCACAGTCACGGAGCAGCTTTGATGCCGTGATGCCTGCTCAGAGTCTGCGGTGGGCTACTCCCAATTCTGGCATCTTCGGCGTTGGACACCTCAGCTGAAGCTGAAGCGCGGGAGCAGAAAGTTTGGTTCCGGCTTTGTGTACTCAGAATCAAGCCCAGAAAGGAATGTCTGGATGGTCGGAGAACTTCGGGTACCTGCACTTGCAGCAGCACAGCCCTCCATGTGTCTTCTGAGTGCACGATCGTCACAAGTGTTGGCATGTTTCTGGACTTAAGTGTGGCAGGGCACTCTCGCGGGAAGCTCCGCGGAAAGCTGAAGTGGTTCATGTCATACTCAATCTGTCCAGAGTCAAGCACCACTCAGGGTTTGCTTGCTGAGCAGTCCACGCACAGGCAGCCTTGTCCTTGAGTCTATTGTCCTGAGAAGACATGGGGAAAAGTAGTGTTGCACACGCCTCAAAACCTTTGCTCGCACACGACGCCTTCAGTCTTGTAAGCGTCATCGGCTCTTCCTTCGGCCGTCGGAAATTGAACTCCTCGACCTCGTGGCGTCTCCAAATTCTTCCAGAGCAAGACATTGGAGATGCGCATCCAGCCGCGTGCCTCTCTCTCCCCATTTCTGATGGAGAGGGGGACGTAGTACTCGTCGCCATTCAGCCTCAACTCCTTCGACAAACGTGCAGACGGGGCCTCAACTCACATGGTTCAGGCAAAAGGCCAAAGGCTGGGATAGGCTACGAGTCGGTCACTGGCTGACGGTCCTCGTTGTCCCGCTTCATGAGCTCTTTGCGAGTCTCCAACAACCTTGAAGCAACTCCCGTTTTAAGGCAGGTGTGATCACGCTCAGCAGAGCTCGAGATCCCGCTGAGGGCGATGCTGGCCTCGTGTGCGGAAGGTGGGATCCTCCACGCGCTGCATGCCAACTGTCCTGCTGCTTCACTGGTTACAGAGTGGGTTCGGAGGCGGCAACATGCATCTTCAACGTTCTTTTTGTGCATCGTTCTGGAACCCGTCGGTCTTGCACTCGCGCTCCGGGTTCACCGGGTAGCTCATCGGCATGAGGCCACCGCGGACTCGTGCCAACTGCCCAGCGTGATGAAACATATATGCTGCAGACGGTCACAGTCGACCAACGCAGTAGCATGCCTGGTGGTCTCCTTCTGCGCGCTCACGGATGTGTGTTATTGGGCCTTGGTCAGCATCAGAAATCGTCATATCAGTCCCCAGCCGGCCTCACCGTTCGCCAAACTTGAGAGGCTCGCAGTCGCGCGGATGTGTCTCATGATTCGGCGGCTGGCGCTCCAAAACCTCGGCAGCATCGACCCTTGACTCCAGCCTTCCACGACCTGAGTGCCCGGCTGGTTCACAGCGCGCTGCCCAGTTCTCACCTGCAATGAGCCCGGCAGCCTTGACCTGGGATGGCTTCGCGGCGCTTGGCATCAGAAACATGCAAAAGTACTTGAATTGTCAGCCTAGCTTGTGTCTTATGTGGCTAAAGAGGCCCCGGATATTCTGAGTTGTGTGCCTCAGCCTTTCGGCTTAGGTTGAGTGCTGTCCTGCAGCCGTGCAAGTCTACAAACATGAAGCCAAGGCGGCGAAACAGGCAGTCCTCGTGTAATGCTCCGGCACGTGATGAGCATTGAAATGAGGCGGGTACCTCAAGCACTCCGACAGCTCCCTTGAGTGCTACGTTATCTCACAGATGGCTAATGTCTGCTGGCATCGCCAACTTTGCAAATCTCAACAACTGGATCAACTGAAGGTTCCTCGACGAGACACGTGGAGACACTGGCTTCATTGGCACTGTCGGGACCGCAGATGACGCCGCGCTTCTGCTTGATCTCGGATGAATGGGCCAAGTGTATGCCAGTGTAGGCAATCACTGACCATGCCACGATTCCACAGCGTCCCCAAGACAACTGCTGCCAACTTGGCGTGAAGCATCTCCAAAGCTTATGAATTCCCGCAGTCTTGCTATGCCCTTTCGGAAACTCCGCAGTCGGTACATGAGGCCCCAGCAGGGCCACACTTGTGAACCTGAGCAGAGACGATGCACAGACAATCTCAAGAATTCTTAGAAGCCGAGCCTGCCCAGTAGCGTCCAATCCTCGGACATACTTGTCGAGGAAGCCATTTTCGAGGGCCTGCAGGGCCGTTGGACATCGAAATCGAGGGCTACAAGTGCTGGCTGGGCCACTCGGCGACCCAGGCCTTCTCCGCGCGCCGCTTTTCGGCGGTCGTCAATCGTCCATCTGCATCTTGATCAAAACACTTGCCAATGAAATAATCCAGCTGGCCGACAACTCCATCACCTGAAGCATACGGCTCTGCAAGATCTCCGTTCTGTCACTGCAACTTTATTGCCTGTTTGTTGGACGTGTCAGGCCATATGTATGTGTGTATATATATATATGTATGATGCAGGGCTGCCACACCCCTCCCCCCCCACCCCATGGCATCCTTCCCCCCGCAGACGCTCGGTACCCTCACTGAACAGACGAGAGGCGGTCGCACCTTTTTCATGCGACCGCAACGTGGGGGTCGGCCACAAGTCCGATCATCAAAACTTCACTTGATCTTCACAAGTCCGATCGGACCCCCGATCGCCGGGGGGTGCGCCATGGCATTCACCACGGGCCGCAACATCGTAGTGAGCAGGACCGGCGACCCGCACATCCGGCGGTATCTCGTCGAGCGGCCTAGGAGGCTGTCCAGGAACAACGTACTGAGCAGGCTCGGCGAACATAGCCGTTCGGCCCGCCGGAGCCGCTGAACAGAGGGCAGACCGGCTATCTGATCCCAGTTGAGGGGAGGATCCGCCCCGTGATCGTAGCCGGCCGGCTGGTGACGATCGCGATCACGATGAGCCGGCGGCGTCACCCAGGGGATCCCTCTGCAGAAATGGCACATATCAAAGCGGCGATCGCAAGCCGTGCACAGAGGAGTGAATTGATTGGGAGCCCACTCTTCGCGGGGGACCCGAACGGCTGCGTAACATTCTTCGCCGTCCCCGTCGCAGAAGCAGCCGGTGAACAGACCGCAATCCACGCAGGGACGGCAGAGCTGCTCGTGCGTGCCAAAAGCGAGCGCTTGAAGGCCGACGTCACTGCGAGGATCCCGCATACCGAAATGAAGATAGGGTGGAGAGGGTGGGATTTTTCGGTATGGCCCGATCGGCTATCGCCAAAATGGCCACGGGAAAGCATGATCACGTCTGTTCCAACGATCGCGAAACTGATCTCCTAATTCCTACCCACCAGACCGATAATTAGGAGACCAGTTACTACGATCGCAGACGCTCGGTAGCCTCACTGAACAGACGAGAGGCGGTCGCACCTTTTTCATGCGACCGCAACGTGGGAGTCGGCCACAAGTCCGATCATCAAAACTTCACTTGATCTTCACAAGTCCGATCGGACCCCCGATCGCCGGGGGGTGCGCCATGGCATTCACCACGGGCCGCAACATCATCCGATCGGACACATCAGACAAGCGATATTCCCAGGCCCTCAAACTCCTTTCGGAAAGTCCGAGGGGACGGTGATCCAACCGCAAAGCAGACCTGTAGCGACATCACCGCGAGAGGGATTATCCGCAGGGTTCGAATCGGTCGGTACCCGATCGATATAAACTGAGCACCTGCGCTCTAGAACAAGCTCCCAGAAAATCCCTACAAGCTCGCAGACGTCCTCTTTTGCAGAGTAGCCTTTGATCAAAGCTGCCTCTACTGGCTCAGAGTCGATAAAGAGGAGGACCAGCTTTCCACGGATCTCTTCCCTGAAAGTCTCGGGGCCACCAGTGTACCTTCTCAGCCAGCGCGAAAGCGCTATCGGCCGTGGCTTCCGGCTCGAAGCCGTACTTGTCGTCGTAGAAATTAAAGCCGGCCACGATGAACACGCGCCTTAGAACGTCGGTAATCGCAGCCGAGCGGCGGTTGTAGTTATAGACGGCCGAGACCAACCCAAAGGAGTGCCCGACCATTACGAAGAAGGCCACCTTCCCTGTCGCCGGATCCTTCAGAGCGACCACACTCCACTTGCGATGGGCCGGGGAGATCGGAACCTGCCGATAGGCCCGCCGCTCATCCAGAACCCAACCACGCAGCGGGGACTTCGGTAGCCGCGAACGCAGCCACTTGATCACCGCCACGTTCGCGTCCGTCGAGGGGAGTTCGAGCTTCTCGGTGACGATCGTCGCCATGTTGACCCCGTTGGAAGTAGCACTATCGACTCCCCTGACTTTGTTCTTCTGGACCACTTCAAATCGCTGTGTGGGGATCCAGTGATCATCGCCCACGAACTCCGAGACTTCGGCTTCATCAAAGAAGGGACCGATCGCCGACCCTTCTCGAACGTCCTCCATGGTCCCTTCCCAGACCTTGGGGGAGTGCTCGGTAACCGGAGATCTCCGGATCGCACTTAGCACCTTCGATCGAAACTCCCAGGCCCTCGATCGAAGGGCATCCACCGAGAGGTGCTCCGCATGCGGTTTGCGGTCGGATTTCCATCTGTGCGAAGAGGCGATGTCGCCGACGATCGGCATGCCCGCCATGATCTGATCCACGAGGTCGACGTCGCTGCAGTTGGCCGCGTCCATGAGCTCGCGCCAGAGGGCGACGTGGAAGAACTGACCTAGCTCCAGTGGCTGATTGTCGGGGGCGCCTCGAAGAAGACGGCGCAGATACTTGTCAGGTATATCTGCTTGAGCAAGTCGTCGGAAGACTGGAGCAAGTCGTGAGCTCGCTGCTCCCAATGTTGCAGGAGCGAAGCCCGGCGGTCGCGAACTTGAGCAGGATCACGGACGATCTGTTCGAGGACCACCAAAAGATCCGGGTCAATATCCGCGTCCTGGGTGAACGGGTGAGTGGCTTCCAAAGCGAAAGCGATAGCCTCGCCTGGATGCATTTCAGTGGCGATCAGGGGAGCCACCACTGACTTCTTCATCTGGTAGCCCGCGGCGACCGCCTTCTTGCCAGCAGATCGCTGACGATGCTCTTTGGCTTTGACCGGGGCACCATGAAGCCTTTTGCGATCACCAACCGGGTGCCTTTCCAGGGCAGTGTTGCGTGAAGAGCTTCCTTGGCATTGAAGAGGATCTTGTTATCGACGAAATCCGTATTGAATGAACCCGGGGATCGGGCGTCCATCGATTTCTCTCACGTCCTGCCCGAGCGGGTCCTCGATCCAGAGCCCGCCTCCCTCAAACGACCCGAGCTTGAAGACGATATTCGGGATCGGCTCGTTGCCAGAGTCACGATGAGGTTCAGCTTCCTGATCATAGAGGACAGCGAACGACGTGAAGAGAGCTTCGGGAGCTTGCTGTGCGATGTACTTGGTGATCGCCTTGATCGCCCACGGCCAGGAATGACAGGACGAACGGAGCCTTGTGATCCCGCCATGTCTATAGGCCCCCGCGAAGAAGGCTCCACCCCGTTCGTCGGTGGCTTTGTGCTGGCCCTGAACAGGGAGTTCCATCGTCATCTCGAGGATTTCTTCGCGTAGCAAAGGAGCCTTCTTTTTCAGGAGCACTTGTGCACGGGGCTCGAGATCGCAGCCTCCCCGCGCACCCAAGAGGGTGAGATGGGGATCGCATTCAGCTTCAGTGGGAGCCGATCAGTGGTTGCCGATCATGGCATGTGGCTCCCCACAGACCATGCATAAATGCTTGAAGCGGCAATTGTCCCCGGAGACGCACCCGAGCGAGGAGTTGAAGTAGTGGCACCGGCGAGCGCCCTGGACTTTCTTGGCCGCATCGGCGATGAGCTTCCACTCTTTCTCCGGGATCCGGTTGTCGCGCTTGATCTTCTTAGCGGGATCTTCCTTGACGACCTTCTTGGGCGGATCGTCCTTGGAAGGAGTTTGCAGCCGCTTCTTCTTCTTCCCTCCTCGAATCCTTTTGAACGGATTGTGGGGAGGAGGCGGAGGAGCTTCCTCTTCCTTGACCTGATCCGGGTTATTGGCGAGCTGCAAACGATTCTGCTCCATCTTCGAGAGAGTGGCCGAGGTGCGAGCGTCGTTCCACAGGTATTTGTGGTTAGTGAGCACCTCGACGAACGCCTGCGAGAACGAGATGTATGTCGCCCTCTGCTCAGACAGTAGGCGATAGACCTTCTTCCGTATGGCTCGATCTGCCGCCATGAGGAAGGGCAACCCCGGACATTCCGAACGGAACTGCTCCAGTTCTTGCAGGTACTTCAAGGGACCTTCAGCGCGTGAGAACGCACAGATGTTGAGGTACTCGAGCGCCATGAAGAACCGCGCAAACGATTGAACAGGGTCATCACGTCCGTGACCGGCTCGGGCTGATCAGCCTTGGAGAAGGTCCTCGGCGTTCCGTGACAGACCGGACTTGACCACTATCACGTCAGAGCGAGTCCTGATCTCGGCCGGCTCATAGAAGGGAACTATCCCATGGATGAGGAAATCACGGGACAACCGCTCCACGAACTTCTTGTGCGGTTCCTTAGCATCGATCAGGATGACATCAGGGTGGACCCTCACAAAGCGATCGCGAAACTCCGCGTGATCTTCCTGGGAGAGCTCCGGGATCTTGTTCGGGTCCTCCTCCATGCGAGCTCGCCGAGAGGCATACTGAGTTTGCAGAGCCTGGGCAGCTTGCCACACCGCTGCCAGAGACATCACGGAGAGCTCTTGGGCTGCCGCATCCGCCCCGAGCGGGGCCAGGTCGTCCTGCCACAGCCTGCGGAGCGTCGCTTTCGCTGCGGTGAGATCTTGCCCCAGCATAGCGAACATCTCGACCGTGAGCAGGCCCTTGTCGGCCGAAAGCCTGCATAGAGCCGGATCCAGCCCTTGCCTCCCGAAGATCTGACGCAGGTTCAGCTTCGGGGTCGCTGCCTCACCGGCGTACACGGTGCGATCCACCATGGCTGCCTACGCGAACGGTCTAAAAAGGCTTCGGTCAGCGAAAGATTCAGCGTCGACAGGCCACCAGATCAGCGGGCAGGCGTATTCACGGCTCAGTAAAGATCTTACCGGAACAAAGTGAGCACATCTGGGTGCTCGGCGGGATCTCACCGAGGTTTTCGCACTCGGTGATCGCGTTCGCTCTGTGCCCGAACCATCTATATACATGGCGTGGTACTTAAGGCTCAAGTCCTTAGAGGATCCAGAAGCCGATCTAGCCTTGGTGACATAAGTCAGAGCGAGATCTCCGAAGTCGACCAAGTTAGTATCGTCAGCTTCGAACTCTGGCGGGGACTTCCAGTCAGAGGCGATCCTCTTCGTGAGCCGCTTGACCATCTCGATCGAGATCTCCTTTCGGCTCCGAGCGTACTTCAGGACCAGCTGGCTCGGATCCTTCCAGTTCGCCTGGAGCCCTATCTCCTTGTCAGGCTCCTGCGCCTGGACCGCCGCCGCGAGCAGCGTGACTCGGCACGAGTGCCAGGTGATCTCCGGCACGATCTTCAGAAGCTCTTTGAGCTGCTCAGGCGCGATATGCCCTCGCTTCAGGTCATCCGATGCTGCAGTAGTGAGCACATACCGCAGCCACAGAATGCTCCGTTGGTAGCTCGCGGGTCGATCAGCAAACCGCTCAGTCGATTTGAGCTCCTTCATGAAATAGTCGCGATCGTCCATCTCGAACGAAGCTGCGTGCCACCCGTCTTCCATCCAGTCGGATCCGGAGACGGAGACCTTGGCCGCTGCGAACCGAGTTCCTTTCTTCTGCCGCTCGACCTTGGTCTGCCAAATAACTACTCCGTAAAGAGCCTTGTCCTTCAAGACGAGCATCTCGGGCACGACGTGGAGGGCATCGTCGAACCTAAGGGGCGAGTAGATCATCACGAGCACCCACCATGCGAAGAAAGCCATGGTGAACTGGCTCGACTTAAAGCGAGCGCTCACAAACCTTTCGAGCGCCGCCACCAAGACCAAAGGGATAGGAACTGCCTCCCGAGTCTCCTTCCCTCGATCGCCGTACACCTTCTTCTGCAAGGCCATGATCCGGGGATCGAGGAGATCCGGCACTTGCATACCGATCCGTTTGCAGATCCATTTGACCGCCCCACGAACCGAAGGTATAACTGTGGGGCCGCATCCTCGATCGGAAAGGTTCAAGAGGTACTTAACGAGCACATCGGTGGTCAGCGGGATCGCCGGGACGTTCTGCGACCGAGCCCACGTCTCCATTCGCTCCCAGTGACGAACGCACTGTTGGATAGTGCGGAATCCGCCACTTTCGAAGACGATCACCCTCAGCGCGTTCATCTCATCCTGGGATAGAGGAGATCCAGGCTTCGGGTTGCCAGCGATCGCTGCGTGCTCGCCGCACCTCTCCACGATCGCTTTCAGCCTCATACCCAACTTCCGTGCCTCTCCGAGCTCCCGAGCTTTGAGTGAAGCCTGTTGATCCTCGGCCCGTGGCTCGATCGACCTCGGCCTCTTCGCGAGCGGCAGAGGTATCGGAGGCTCGCTGCCTGTCCCCTTCGATCTCGGGGGCGATCGCCCGAAGGCAACCGGGGCTTCAGCCATGCCAAACCCTAGATCCGTGGCCAGATCAGCCCAGCCCGCTGCCGCCGTGCCACGAACCAGCACAAACAACAGCTCGATCGACGGAACCCACCTGCCGAGCTCCTCCTCGTTCTTCCGCCGAGCTGGCGTGTGGAGTTCCTCAAGAGCAGGCACTAGCTCAACGAACGCTTGCACACACTCAGCGATCGTCCCGTCCGAAACAGCCGAGAGCTTCTCGAACTGAGCCATCCGAAGATCCACCAACCATTGGCAAAACTCATCCCCGAACAGGGGAAGGGACAGGATTTTCCGAACGGACCTAGCCATGCTTGGCCTGAAAAGCTGCACATACGATCGCACGTGCCTGCTAATGATGCTAATGGCAACCGAGCGCCGTGCCTGAGACAGGTCATGATCACACTCACTTCCGGCAGAACATGCGCTGGGATCTAGCGCGCCGAGAGGATCGCTCGGCATGTTTGTTCCGCGGAAGAGCCCGGCTGATCAGCCGGGAAGCTTCGGTCGAGCGGCGCACCACTCACTTTCTGGAGCGTGCACAAAAACCGACCATCGGCTGCGCCGCGATCGCCGCCTACTCCACCTCCAAGGTGTTCATCGTGTAGGGACCTGCCGAGAATCGAGCCGGTGGGTAGGCCGGGGCGAATGCCGAAGGCATTGAGGTCGGGGTGGAAGCCGAGGCCGTGATCTCCTGGCCCGTCTCCTCCACCCTGACCGTGCTGATCCGCTCATACTCCGCCTGCTCGCGATCGCGGAGGACGTCCGTGAAGACCTGCGGAGTGATCGCAGCTGAAGCGCGCGAGAAGCGCACGTCAGCCCTATTGCGGGCTTCGGTGACGACATTCTCGGCGATCTGCGCCTCCTCCAGCTCACCCTCCGCCGGCACCTGAACAGTGCTCACCCTCTGGTCGAACACCTGCTGAGCCGAGGTGGGCATGTTCGAGATGGCCGAGGTGACGGAGGAGCCCAGCTGCTGAACCGCCTGCCGAGCCGCCTCGTCCATGAGAGCCGGAGGGCCGTTACGGGCCCGAACGGCATTGTTCTCGTCATGCGACCGGTGGGCGAGCGCCTCCTGCCGCACGAACTCCAGCGGGCAGACCCTGAGCTTGGATCGAGCCCTCACGTGGAAGTTCCCATGATCAACCGGGAACTCATCCGTCGTTGTCCCCACTTGCTCCTGCTCGTTGGCGAACGCGCTGTGGTACCAGGGGGCGATCACCGCAGACAACTGGGCGAACTGCTGGATGTGGTCGGGGCCTTCCACGCGAGCGCGTTGGCTCCGGCAGGCCTGGATCGTGTTGATCAAGGCGGGGCCCGAGATATGGCTCACCGTGAGCCAGGTACCTGGCACGGAAGTCCGCCCGCACTTGAGATCAATCCTGTTGTTTGCGTCCCGGAACCGGAACTCAACACGATCGGCATCGTTGCCATAGCCTTCTCGCGAGGAGCGATCCGTCACTCTGAGCTCGCAAGTACTCATGGCATGATCGCTTGCCATAACCGCTCCTCTCGGGCCGATCGTGTAGACCCGGGCTCCAACCTCGAATGAGGTCACAGAGACTTTCCATCCCACGAAGACCGAGATGACGATCGAGGGTCGGAACCATCCTTCGTTGGCCGTGCCCCTGAAAAGAGCCTGAGGGAGGGAACGACATGGCTGCAATCGAGCGAGCCATTTGCTTCCACCTCCCACGCCGAAATTTTTCGGTATGGCCCGATCGGCTATCGCCAAAATGGCCACGGGAAAGCATGATCACGTCTGTTCCAACGATCGCGAAACTGATCTCCTAATTCCTACCCACCAGACCGATAATTAGGAGACGATGCAGGGCTGCCACACCCCTCCCCCCCCCACCCCATGGTATCCTTCCCCCTTCCCCCCCGCCCCCCCTGTGGTGTGGGGCCTGTGGTGGTACTTGTTTTGCCGCGACATTCTTATGTGTTACTCCTTGTCTTCCCTCTTGCTGTGGCACCGGTGATACTACTCATGATGTTGTGCTGCTCTCGACTCTAGACCGGGACGTGAGTCGACAATCAGACCATGCTCAACATCATCCCTGTCGTCGTCATCATCATTAATACCTTCACAAGAATATCTGCCACCATCACCATCGCCATACAACCCTCATATAATTCAACATTGCAACTCATGTCAGATGCTAGAAACTACTGAGCCGATCGCCGCTTTCCACACACGGCAGGGCATAGCGCCACACTCCCGATCCACACACAAGGTCAAGGGGTGGGCAAGGTGCGGGCCGGGGCGGGCCGGGGCGGGCCGGGGCGCAAGGGAGGGTGGGCGTGCAGCAGGAGGGGAGGAGGGGGGGTGGGGGGGGGATACCATGGGGGGGGGGGGGGGGGGGGGGTGGCGGCCCGGGACCCGAGAGGATATATATATATATATATATATATATATGCTCTGTTGCAGGAGTTGAAGTCCAGTCTCAAGGGGCGCACAAGCTGTGCGAGCAAGCAAAGACCAAATACGAGTCAATCCAGAGATCCCACAGCATTATACCTTTCCGAAATCTGTTTGCGAAGGTTTTGGTTTCGCTTGAAAAGCCACGGTGCTAGTTTGTAAAACTGCGAAGGACTGCTCAACTGCTCCCTGTGCCAACAGTGCAGAGTCTTGCATCGAAGCTCCACGGTTCAAAGATGCAAGATCCCTCCAGTAGCACCAGCATGCACCAGCTTCAACGGGCTTCGCACTGCTCATGGTCTTCTGGGTCGGGTGGCTATGTCTCTGGGATTGCCAGGTTCGAAGGGTATGAGAAGTGAACTGACATGGGCCAAGGATTTGCAGCACATCTTGCGCCGTGAAGAAGGTTCTGCTTCTTCGCCCTGAAGAAGCTCCAAGTAAAGAACAAGTCCTTGTGAGATTTTGGTGCGGTCTTAAACCTGTACAGGGGGACACTACATTTCACAATTTTATTGTTAGTTGTGACCCTACTTCCGCTTAGCTCATACACCCTCTTTTCGGCTCGATTCTTTTGCTGAGTCCAGCACCATCGAAATCATAGCTTCTTACTTCTGGGATTCTTCCCTGCTTGCGTGCCTGGCCCCAGGGGTCTGGACTTGAAACATCTGATTGCACAGCTCTCCAAGGCCGTTTGTGCCGCTGGGCTGTGCCTGCTGCAGTTCTGCTCGGGAGCGGATGCCCGGCGGCGCATCCAACCTGCACCCGGAAACCAAAAACTTGTCAAGGCCTTGAGCACTCGCCATCAAAACGTGCCGAGAAGACCATTTAGGATGCCAAACCTGGAAAGAGGTGCCGTCGAAGATCAAATGCAGAAAGCTAGTCTGGAAGGCATCATGCACATCGCAAGCTGAGTCGTAGTTTAACTGTTCAAGGGCTGGGGCCCGGATGCAAAATGGTTCATGAAATCGTCGAACAGCGTCAAACTGAGGACTGCGCATCTTTCTCCAAGAAATGGGATTTGTCCTGCAGAGGCTATGATGGAAACTTGCAATCCGCGACCAGCACGTTCAGCCTTGAACGGCTTGCTGTGGTGGTGGTGGCCGAAGATGTCGTAATTCGGAACCGTATATGGCCCCTGTTCAGACAGATGCTGATAGTCTCTAGACATGAACAACCTCAGAGGAGTTGAGAAGCATCAGGGACTGCAAGAGCGCGACTCAGCAAAAAACAAGCCGGCATAGCAGGCTGCGACATTGCAAGCAGGACTTTTCCGTCTATCTACATTGGCGGTTGGACCGACTACTCCAAAAGCAAGGTATTGGACAGGTGTCGTCACCGCTGTTCTGTCGTGCTGCCTTTGATTGCGTTCTACTGCAGATGTCCCTTTCCATGCTCTGATGCTCTGGGCACAGCACCAGCGAATCCAAGATGCAGCTGGTCCAGTTGAACATGGTTGACTTGTGGGCATGACGTTGCATCCAAAGGAGCGACTGAATATTCATGCTCCTGCTCTTGTACTTACTTCTATCACGCCGACTGCTGCTGAAGCTGCTGCTGCTGCCGTTGCTGCAGTTTCTGCAGTTGCTGCTGCTCCCGCTACGGCTACGGCTACTGATGCGGATACTGCTACTGCAACGTTCTCTTCTTCTACTACTCCTCCTCCTTCTGCTACTACTACGACGATGAGGACGACGGCGACCACGACAACGACGACGACCATCGCGATGACCACGACCGCAATCAGCACCACATAGCACCACTACCACGGTTGCCACCAATACCATTGCACTTGCTACTACTCATTCTCATCACGAACCAATGACACTGCTTCCACGATCGCTCTATGACGATGGATACCACGAACACCGCCGGCTCCCGTCAGGCCGGTGCTAACGCAGAAGAAGAGCAGGCCATTGCTGAGGCAGCTTTTTGCTCCCCAGGGCCAGCACCTCCACCAGCTCACTGAGCCCGAACGCGCTTGTTGCCTACTGCGTGCTCGGTAACGTTCCCAAGCAAGTCATTGTCTTGGGCTGAGCGAATTCAGATGCACTTTTTATGCACAATCGCCGGCCTTCGCAGCTCCACGTCCACAGAGAGACTCTTTCACACTTCGATTACCAGTAAGGGCAGGACCCGTCTTCCAGATACTCAGTACGGTCAACGCACATGTCCTTGGAAGTTGACTCTCTGAACAAGATGTCGCACAGATTGGCCTGCAGTGTGAGGCCGTGAGGCATGATGAGCTGCGGCTGAAGCTCTGTGAACAGATCCAAATCAGCGAGCATTGCACCTCATGTCTGATGTTGACGTAAACTTCTGCTCCTGGTTTTCAAAAAAAACTCATGAAATTCTCGCCTCCGATGAACACTGAAAATCGGCGGTCGTCCGGTGCCAGCACACCTGCAGCCAGCATCATCTGCTCTTCCCAGGATGAACACTTCTCGACAAAAGGCCCCGGCGTATTCTAACGGTGCTGGGTATCAGCTTCGCGAGTTCGGCTTGAAGCCGTCTGCCAAAGCCTCCCATGAGCAGAAAACACGGTCACGACTTGCAGATATACCGTGGGCCTGGAAAGCAGGTACTTCCACCTGACCTATGGCAAAGCTGTCACGGATCAAGTTGGGAGGTCAGAAGAATTCGAGGGCCCTGCACAACCACATTTGCAAACAGCTCCTTTCGAATGTCCAGGTCGCACCTTGGGAAGCGGAGAACAAAGGCAATTCAAAAGCTGCACGGCAAACCCCGTCAAAACCGTGGCCTCGTTATCGCGTTGTATATCTGGGCGTGGACGCCCTGACACTGCAACCATGACAAGATGGCGCAACTGGAGAGAAGAATCCGCCTCTGTTTCAGGCCGGCCAACCAGCTCTGGATTGAACAAGGCCTCTTTCGCGGACGGTGGTGTAGGGTGGTTTACATTCGCTTCGCGCTTGAGCCTCGGGGCACTTGAAGCGTTCAGAGTTTAATCGAATGACGTTACCATCGGGCAACTCCTTGGTGTGTGCAGCCAGGGATATTGCAAAGTGCCGGCAGGTGCAGTCGTAGACCAAGATTCGTGAGTGGAGGCACACGCATTTGTAGCCTCTGCCTGGCAACAGCACGGGATCTTGCTGTACTTCATGGTGGCAGCCTGTTTGGCCTTTTTCAGCTCTTCAACAAAGTTGTCCGCGACGTAGCAGCACTGGCAGAAGTGCCCACACGAAGATCTCTGGCTATCGTCGCATGAGGCCATGTGAGGGGGTCCTTCTCCTTCATGTCACGTGCAATCTCCTAAGTGTGGCCAACGGCTCGCAATCGCTGGAAACAGCTCCTATTTTGCGAGTTAGTGCTGCCAGCAGGCCCGCTCGGCAGTGGTAGAAAGCGACGTGCCTCCGCAAGGAAACTCAGACCAACCGTCGCAACACCTACTCAATGGCCTGACTCAACCACCAGCTTCATTAAGTACCTGCAAGACAAACAGGCACCAAGGACACCTTGCTGTATGGGGCAGTCTTGCCGCACATACCATGCTACATGCAGAAGCGACATTGCATGTGCCAAGCGGATCTCATCTGGCTCATGCTTTCACAACCTTCAGAACCTCAAGGGCACTCTGTCAAGTCCCTGCCCGCCAAGTCAGCGCGAGAGACGGCATGCGGCAGGAGGAAGCCCTGATGACTTTGCTTCTGGCTCTCCCTTATCTACGAGATGCATGGGACTGCCTCGTACACAGGCACCACATGCGTGACGCCATCTCCACTGTCGCAGACAATCCTCCGAAGAAAGAAAGAACTGCTTTTCATAGCGACACAAGTTCAACGAGGGACAGAACCACGCAAGCACGTTACTTACCACGAGCTTTCTGCTGATCTTCCGATTTGCGGTTTTGCAAGTTCGTCAGGGATAGCAATAGGGCGGGGGCTGATTTCGTTGGCGTTGGGTCCACGTGAACCTTCTCTGTTCCCGTGCAGTTGCGCGCATGGCTTGGTGTGCGAATACACTTGCGCAATCGTCCTTAAGCCTGCAGGATCCTCCAGGTCTGCTGCTGCGACACGGTGTGTTGACAGGTGGCAAGGTTTGGACACGTACAGGCCGACTTTCGTCCACCGAAAAGCAAGAAGGATACGGGATTCAATCCCCGAGTGCTCTTGTACCTGCCCTCGTTTGGCGACGGCAGCTAGCCAAACTGTGACTTTGGACAAGACCTCGCGAATGAGTCCGCTTTGCGAAAAGTCCTGTTCAGAAACGTTTGTGGTGCCTTCTTTTGCTGGTGTGCCAGCCCATTTCTGTTACGGACTCGTATGTCTTGCTTCCCACAAAACACTACTGCCACTACTGTAAGTTATGGACCTGCAATCACATGAGGACTGCGGATGTCCCTGTTGTTCTGCCAGACGAATACATGGCGAGCACCGCCTGAGTCGTTATGTACCTTGGTCGAGCGCTGCGCAAAAACTCTAACTAGGCAGCGCCATGAAGATGCAGTCATTGCGACCATGACGCAAGGCAGGTACGTAGAAGACCTCACAAAGGGACCCATCAGCATCTCAAGCGAGCTCCGTCTTACGCGGCCTCAAACATGATCTGCGTCATCCGTTCGCGATTGGCCTCACAGAAAACATCAGAGTCGCAGATACCCCACAGGCTTCATGACGCCACTGACCTTGGGGTTCAGCGCAGCTTCGGCCAGCAATACGGCTTGCTCCTGTACAGCGTCGTCATTGGAACGACAGCTGCCGCAGTCCGCAGCTTGAGGTCAAGGCCGTTGGTTGAACCCGCAGCTCATTGAAGAAGGTATGTCTCCAAATGAGCTCCATGTCCTCCCAGTCCTGTGTCATGGTGAAGTTACAATGTCAAGAGGGACCGTCACGCCGCTCCTGCACTATACCATGTTCAACGGGATACGATATCTTGAGGATGCCACCTGGTCGCAAATCACATGAGCTTGCTGTTGTTGACACACGTTATTCTGCAGGATGTGATCCCAAGGATGCCACGCTTCGCTTGAGCTTCCTCTCCTGCAGCAAAGAGCACATAAATCAATACGGCAAGCTTTTGAATAGTCAACAGTCTGGCGTCCTATGTAGTGCTCTTGCTCGCCAGAGCCTTGCATGACGTTGGCCTGAGTCCGTGAAGCTCGCAAGGCCTCTCTGTAATCTCCAGCCTCCCCCTAAAGCCAGAACTTGCTTCGGTCTGCCAATGATCGAGGGGAATCTGCAGCTTGGCTCCTCCTGCATGAGGGCCGTGCAGGGAGTATGTATGGGCTTGCAGTACACTTCTTCTATGTCCTCGCCGGCAATTCCAGCTTTGCAAATCCCGCTGCCAACCTTGGACATACCGCCGCACGCCGCATGATGAAATGACGCACTTTCGAGGTTCGCTGAGCTATGGGCATCTATTACGACTGTGCGTCCGAGGCCCTGCAACCGGGCCTAGCCAGTCAATGGCAACCACGAGTCAGAACGACACAGACACAGAAACACCAGCCATCAAAACCGCAAGCCTGCTCCCGCTTTTTCATGAGGAGATCCTACTGTGCAACACTCCGTGATCTTTGGGAGGCTGCACAGTTTGCATAGGGTAGGCTATGACAGCTATGAGGCTATCAATCCTGAGAAGATGACGTGGCTCTGCACGGCAACACATTACGTTCAACACAGGATGCACCGTCAAAATGTTTGTGCTGCAGCTCACAGCTAGTCGTGACCATTTGTGTAGCTCTTGCTTGACTGGGCCTGCTGGGAAGCGAGAAATGGCAGCGGCAGATCGTACGAATGTGCAGGCTTCTCTTTGCGAGTTTACAATGGACCGGGGCAGTGATCATTTCTGCATGGCCAATGACTGGCAATGCTAACTGGCAGCGTGCAGGTGGATGAGATGATTCCGGCCGTCGAACTTAAGGCAGGAGTCTTTCTTAATGATCATGGCCGCAACTGGCTCCACATGCCTAGTGCCGCGAGAAGCAGTCCAGAGGCAAAGATAAACAGGCCAACTTCCTCGGCTATCACACACACACACACACACACTGACATACACACGCGCAAAACATGATATCCAAAGGTTCAAGACCAGGATTCTGCGATGACTGGGCCGTGCGCTCGAAGGGCAGCCACGGTCGACCAATTGATAGCAGAGTGAATGCACGAAGTTCCCAGCACCATCCAGGGGGAAAGCGCACCCAGGAGCGCCCTGACAACGTGAGAACAGGTCTTCGCTAGGAAAGTTTGCAAAAAGGTTGCACGCTCCGTCAGGAACACCAAGGACACAACAAAGATGAAAAGAGCTGGGGCAAACGGGCGACATCGCGAGGTGGAGCTCGTGAGCGCTGAAGCGCTCAAGGATGCCTCTTGCACGCTCGAACCGAATACACGCACGTGACACGTGCAATGCAAGCACATCTAAGCTGAAAAAAGCCTTTCAGAAGGCATGCGTTCTGATTGTGCTTGCATCAGTGCAGCCAAGGATGCCCCACGCCGGATGCAAACTCAAGGGATCGTCTCGCCCACTTTGCGCAGCCAGTTGGTGAAATGCCTTCACGCGACATGGGTTTCTATGGGTTTTGGGATGTAATGAGCCGGGGCGGGGCGAGCGGCGGGCCAGGCCGAGGCGCTTCGACCGCCTTTGGATCCTTCCCGGACTTTGCCGCTTTCAGGAGCTGCGTCGCCGCAAGCGACTGCACACAAGTGAAGACCAGCTCCAAGCAAGTCCAGCCCAAACCTCCCAACAAAGCAAAGAGGGAGAGAAGAAGTGGTTTACGGGGCTTACTTTAACACCTTAAGGGATTTTAGGAGAAGTGCTCACTGCTCGGCCTAAGGCGAAGCTCGCATCAAAGCGGGCAGCCCATCCGAAGGTGAAGAGCATCGTCACCCGTACACTTTCCTGGCAACATCGCATCCATGTGGTCCAACTGCTTGTCGAAAGACTTGCGGCATTTCTGCCTCTGCCGGCCCGGACACGAGGGTTGTAATGAGCTGCAGCCATGACTGCTGCGACGCTGAATCAGCCAAGAGAGCCTCGAATCGATAATGTCCGGATTCACACGACTCTGCGGGGCCTCGTCCAGCAGCAACAGGCCTTTGTACCGAGGACCACTGGAACACGCATCAGCAGAGCAAGCCACCAGCCGCCGGCACCATACAGCAGAATCGGCCAGTCCTGGTTTGCCTCAGTGCATCGGCACGTCCCCCAAACTTGCACGTTAGATGTGCTGGCTGCATGCGGAGCTGCATCTGCCAGAAGAGCGTAGGCACCAAAGAACGGAGCTATCGACAACAGCAACAACCTCGATTCGGACGACTGCATACTCAATGCGGCTGCGCGGCTCATCTACACTGCCAGTCATCTGACGAACGCTGAAAAGTGGCAGGCAGCGGCAAGCAGCAATATGCCTTCCCCGTGAAAGCATCGATCTCGTCATCACTAGGAAGCGCCTGGTAGTCCGACATGGCCTTCGGATCGAAAGCCTCCGGTTTCCGAGACACCAAAACTGGTCAGATCGTGAAATAGACCAAGCCTGCACAGGCAGCTTTGTGGTCTGCGTTACAGGGACCTAGTTTGACTGCTTCGAGCTGAGCTGGATTGGGAGCTGAGCGAATTATCAGTCGCTTGTATCAAGACCGCATCAGACGCCACGGGGCAGACTTGTTCTATTCTCGCCCATGTAAGAAGAAGTCGAAATTTGTTGAGCTGCTCGGTCCGCAAATGTCTGCAAACGATTGAGTTGATCTGGAACTATCTGGGTCCTCCAACGAAGCTGAGTACGTGCGCAACCCAATACCAACAAGCGTCGCGACTAGCAGAAACTGCTGAAGCTCCGCGAAGGTAAGCATTCGGGCGAGCTCAACGGTTCTATGGCTGCAGCACTCTGGACAACCTGTCGGACACTAGATGATCTGAAGAACACCATTCAGTGACCGGCTTGTGGGAAATTGGATAGCGATAGTGCTCTGAAGGATGCAGTCGAACGGCAGAAGCATTGCCTGTACATGTGATGTCCCGAAGGTCACACACCATCCACTTCGCAGGCAGGCTTGCTTTCACATGGCGCCAGATAAATCAAACACAATTATAATCACGATCACGCTCGGAAAGAAGCCTTACTGCGGGCTGTATTGCGGATGGCACTGACCCCGAAATCAGACTAGGCAAGAGCTTCAAATGGGCGACGGGGTTTTCAAGGCCACGGGGCCCTGGACAACCACGGCTGGTGCGCGGGAGGCACACTGTGCAGCTAAGCAACAAAGTGAATTGGAGATAACCTGAAGCTTTCTCAGACCATAAGGTGTTTGTTATGTCGGTTTTGTCTGGTCACAGCGACTGCGCTCGAAAACGTCGATTTGTTGACGCTTCAGCCCGTTAGCCACTTCTCACCCTCGTGCCACAAAATTATAGGGTGCATTGGACCGGTGGATGTGAGCAGATGGTTCCCGCTGACTAAATCCAGGTCGATCCACTGAATTCCGAGTCTTCAGCACATCAGATGATGCACCGGTCGGAGAAGGCAACGACGCTTACTTCCTCATTGGTGTGCTTTCGTTCGGTATCGCAGTTCCTGTCTTCGTCGATGGCAACATCAACAGAGGAGCTGGTAGCTCCCAGAACTCGTACCCAGCCCCCGTCACCTCCCCACCTTTTTGACTGGCTTGCGACCACCAGGGGACTGTTGCTTCCGATGTCTGTACCAAGTGGAACCGTGGCCCCGCCGTTTTGCCAACCAGGCACACTTCGTGTAGAATAGACAGATGCGCATTGAATCACTTGACCTGGCAGAGCTCTGAGCTTATCTTGCCTAAGGCCAAACCAGCTCTGGCTCCACTTTTGCTTCAGGATGCTTCCCGCCTGCAGCAGCCTGGAAGGAGTGCGCACCTTGCTGAACGGCGATCCATCCAACCTCCTCGTCCTGGATGCTCGAGCCTCCGTGCTCTGACGTCTCCGCCATCTCCAAGGCGACCTGAGGGCGGTCAAGGCTCGAGAGAGAGAGAGAGAGACAGAAAGGTCTCTCTGAGTGCAGCACCCACGCATCCGTAGGATTCACGCTGTTCACTCCCACCTGAGGTGCAAAGGCAAAGCAGGAAGGCAGGAAGGCAGGAAGGCAGGAAGGCAGGAAGGTAGGAAGGTAGGAAGGTAGGAAGGTAGGAAGGCAGGAAGGCAGTTGCTTAAGACCAACTGTGAAGTTTGTTTCTTTTCCGAGTCGCTGTGAACCAGGGCTGGGAGTCCGAGGCCGGCAGCTTTGCTTCGTTGTTCGTCGTCTGGATCGTGGCCAGAAACGCCGGCTTCTCTGGGAACGCATGCTGGAAGGTCACCTTCTGCCACGACGTTTGAAGTCCTCCTTGCGAGGAAATAAAAATGATGCCAGACGGAAGCGGAAGGGTTTGGACGATGGATGCAGCGCAAGTCCTGGAGGCCGGCACTTCTTGCTGGCTGCCTCGGATTTTGTTCTGGCTTGAGGAGAGCATCCTAGTGCCTAGGGGCTTGGGGCCCAGACGAGCTTCGAGGTCGCATCGCGGCCGGCTTCCAGCCACAGGCCACTGCCTCCACCCCGAGCAATAAGGGAAGAGGACAAAAACACAGCAAATCCCAGAGGCGGGCCCCCGCAACTCGCCTGGGAGCTGAGCGATGCCTGGAGGCATGGCCACGAAGGTGACAGTCATCTGACTGACCACACTGCCTGTCTCCGGTGGCGTAGCAACGATGGCTTCGAAGCCAGTGCTACTGATGCCCTGCAGGCGGATAGCTGCAGGTCCATCACCTTCTCCAGAGACTGCAATCACGACAACTGGCTTTTCGGCAAAGGCTGCACTGAATGAAAAGCTGGTCCATGCCCCGCTTCGCACCGTCACCTCGCCCACTTCCAAGCTTGGTGCACCAGCCAAGGTTCCTGTCGTTGTAGTGCCTGGCGGAGTCGTTGTTGTAGTGGTAGTGCTGGATGTCGTTGTTGTCGTGGTTGTCGTGGTCGTTGTGGTCGTTGTGGTCGTTGTGGTCGTTGTTGTCGTTGTGGTCGTTGTGGTCGTTGTGGTGGTTGTGGTGGTTGTGGTGGTTGTGGTGGTTGTGGTGGTTGTGGTGGTTGTGGTGGTTGTGGTGGTTGTTGTGGCGGTTGTCGTGGTGGTTGTGGGAGCCGACGAGCCCATTGAGAAAGCCATAGACCAGGCGAGGATGCTCGCAGTTTCCTCAATGTGTTTGCGCTCACTGTCACAATAGATATCCTCGTCTATGACCAACTGCACGGAGGAGGAGGACGAGGAAGACATTCTGAGCCATCCCCCATTTTCACCGTTCCGCGACGATTGGCTTCCAACCACAAGCGGTGACTCGGTCATCATGTCGGTTCCAAGCGCCACCTCCACAGCTCCATCGTCAAGACCCTTCACGACCTTTCCGGTCAACACTGCGCTGTAAAAAACCGGGGTGCCCCCCATCTCCGGAGCAAAAGTGCCTTGTCCGGTTTCCATGGCGATGTAGCCGACTGCTTCGGTCTGCGTAACGTCTCCAACTTTCGACGTCTCTGCCGAGTCCAGGGCGATGGACACTCGAGTCGCGGACACGTCCTTACAAGCCAGTGTAAACCAGGGCTTCGAAAAGAATTGTGGCACAGCACCTTGCTCGTTGTTTGCGGTCTGCAGATTCGCTACGACTGCCGGTGTAGAAGAAAACTGCGTGGTGAAGCTGATCTGGTCCCAGCTGGCAGAAACACCCGAAGCCTTGCACGCTTTGCCCACTTGTCTGGCCAATGTCTCCTTGCGCCCGGCCTCAACTTTTCGGCCATCCGGCAGCACATGCGCTCCTGGCAGTGCAGCCATGTAGGACACCGTCATGTCCGGTCGAGTGCCGGTCGCACCAGGCGGTATCACAACGAGAGCCTCAAAACTTGACGTGGACACGGATCTAATCCGCACACTTCTTGGGGTTGTCTCTCCGTCGGTCACCACTGGCAGTACCACAACGACAGGCGACTCGGCAAAGGACCTCTGGAAAGAGAAGCTCTGCCATCCCTGACTGTCGCCTGAAAGGCAGCAACTAACTGACAGCAAACAGCAAACACACTGGGAATTCCACATGCTTGACAAGCTGTTGCTCTGGCCTGCTATGAGGATCTCGCCGACTTCGAGATTTGCATAGCCGCCTGCCTGCGTGGTCGAGGGACCTTGCGACGTGCTAGTTCCTGCAGAGGTGCTAGCGGCCACCGAGGTCGTTGTCACTGCTTCGGTTGTCGTCGTAGTCGTGGTGGTGGTGGTGGTGGTGGTGGTGGGGGTCGTCGTCGTCGGTGGCGGCGGCGGGGTTGTCGTGGTCGTCGTTGTAGTCGTCGTGGTTGTAGTTGTGGGGGTCGTCGTAGCGGCCATCGTTGTAGTCGCGGTCGTGGCACCGATCGGCCTCAGGACCCGGTCTCTCTCTCTCTCTCTCTCGCTCTCTCTCTCTCTCTCTCTCTCTCTCTCATTCTCTTCCTTCGTGAGGTTGAGGGAGCTTTTAAGCTTCCCTGTTTCATCTTGTGCTTCCCCTTCCCTCTCAGTCCCTCTCGCTTCATCTCTTGCTTTCTTGCTTGCATTGCGTTTGGGGTAGAGAGGTGGGACCCCTCCAACCCTGCGCTCACGCTCTATGCCGAGTGCCCAAGTCTGGCCTGTAGGTGAGACGTTCTTGTGGGGTTCAACTCGAGCTGGACTTGGTCATATTGTGTCCCCATGAAGTCCATCTCTCTCTCTCTCTCTCTCTCTTTCATAAGGTCTGGAGAACAGGTCTCACGCTGGGCGACATGCAGGGTTGGCTGCCCGAGATGCAAAAGCGCTGCCCCAGAAGCAAAAAGACTTGTTGTTTTGATGCATTCCGCCGACATGCCAAAAAGCGAGCCGACATGCAGGGCTGGCAGCCCGAGATGCTAACAGTTTTTGCTCGGGCAGCCACCCCTGTGTGTCGGCCTACTACTTTACTGTTTTACGCACTGTTTGATTATTTAACTGTTTGACTTTTCAACTCCACATACAGTATTGTCGTAACCGATGTTTGGGGTTGGCAGCCGGGGATGCAAAAACGCTTTTGCATCTCGGGCAACCAGCCTTGCATGTCGGCCTAGGATTTTAATATGCTGCTACTTGACTGTTTTACCGTACTACTGTCATACTATTTCACTCCACATACAGTACTGCCGTGGGCGATGTTTGGGGTTGGGAACCCGGGATGAAGAAAATGCTGGCATCTCGGGCCATCTGGTACAGCCACCGGAGCATGTCGGCCCCATAGTCGAGATAGGGGCCACCCCTGAGCTGCGTGGCTACCGTACTCGCCGAAGTGGGCTCTCAGCTAGAACTGCGCACAGATTGCGATGTCCCGTTCAGCAATGACACGTCACGCCACGTCTCTCTCTCTCTCTCTCCCGCAGTCTCTCTCTCGCTCCCTCTTTCACCAGGCTTGAGGGGCCGCCCGCGCAAGCCTGTTGGTTCGGTTTTCAGAAGCAATTGTTTACCCCCGCCCTCGAGAAGATGGCATGCTCTGGTAAAGATGACACACTCTCTTCGTCTCTCTCTTCGCTTCGTTTCGCTCAAGCTGAGAGACGCGGGGCATCTGTTTCTCTCGCCCTCTCTCGCTCTTCTTCCCCACAACCAGCAGGAGTAGTGCGAACTACCCCCACCCCCCCCATGCTCTCTGGCTTAGGGGGACTACGACGATCGGGTGAAAATGGACAGGCAGAACTTTTAGTTGCCGTGTGTTCTTGCCTTTCTGTAATGGCCGACAGGCACTCTGAGTGCCAGACCCGTGGGTGGGCGAATTTGGGGAATTACGTTGCCTACGACATTCGGAGCTCGCTCTCTATCTCCTGCGTCGCTTCGCAGGCCAAGAGTCTACAAGTCGTGGACCCGCGCCCAGGCGCCCCCTTCCCCGACTCGGCGGTGGAAGAGGCTCTGGGGTCTTCAGAGGTAGGAGAATTTCCCTCAGGTTAGGTCCGGCCGGTGGCGCCTGGTAAAAACCCAACACTCCCTGGACTTCAGCCCGCATCCCGGCCTCATCCCCGTGCTCACTAAAGCACTATCCTTATTCCCTCGCCAGGCAAACTCACCTTAAAGAAACAACGGTTGGATTACACTGGTTCCCCCGCTTGCAGATAAACCAACAACTGAAACACAACAGACACGGGTCACAAGGATAAGCGAGTTCCCTGACAGGTCCACCTTCGGTAAAAGTTAAGAAAATGCCTGTAACACTGTAGAAAAGCGAAATCATGCCCCCAGTCAAGAGCGCAACGATTTGGCGAAAGGATACCTCTCAAGGGTGACGAATTGGCAAAAGGAATCCAATCAAGGACTGAGTGTTTGACCTTAGTGCAATTAAAAAGGTGGCGAAGTGGCGCCCCAGACGGTGGTAGTGTTATGGCTCAACGGCGCGTCCAATTGTGCTTGGCTTTTGCAAGCATGACTGAGGACTGCAAGCGAGGTTGAACCAACAACTTTCCGCACAGAGTACACCTCAAAACTTTTTACGCGCGCTTCCCCCTCATTGTCTCAGTTCTGGGTTTGTCCTCTCCGCTTGGCGGTAGGGCTCCTCGTCGTCGGGCGTGTGGTCCTTTTTGCCTTGTTGCTCGTCTCCATGTCCTGTGTCTCTTGGGTCCCAACGTCTTCCAGTTGCTTCCCCCCGCTGTCTGTCTTCACCGCTGTCTTGAAAGCCTTCTTGGCTTCGGCTAGGAGCTGAGCAACTTGCACGGGTCCTTCCCCACATAGATCCGCAGCGCCTCTTCTATGATGGGGTTGCGTTCTCCCCCCCTTGTCGCCGGGGTCCTTTGAAGAGCTCGACATCGATGAAGACGTGGTACAAGTACCGTCAAGTAGTATGCTCCGTCCCTCTACTGGCGGGCCACCTCTCGAAGGAGGGCCGCGGTCGGGTTCGGGAGAAAACAAGCGCGGAACGGGCCTCTTAAGCCAGTGGCGACAGGCGTGGAAAGCACAGCTGGGAGAAACAAGAAGGCTCCCCCGCGCGGCACAGCTCCAGGTCAACCCCCTGCTTCCCCCCTTGCAAGAGGGCGGCACCGGCCCCCAAGCACAGCTGCGAAACTTGAACCAAAATGGCTACCTCTATCTCTCGCTCTTTGCTTTGCTTTGCTCGGGGCTTGGGGCGGGAGCAGTCCTCCCGTCCCGCGCGGGTGCGCTGCCCCATCCATTATTTGGAATGGGTGGGCTCGGACTTTACAAGAAAAAGGCTGTGTGCCCCTGTTCTCCCCCTGTCTGCTCGTGGGAAAACAGCAACGATAAGCAAGCGACGATTGGTTACCGGGTTCCCCTAAAGAACGTGGAGCTGGTAGAGACACACTTCGTCACCCACTTGGAGTGCTGGGGCTTGGCCGTAATACTAAAGGTTGTTTCCAGGAGGGAAAAACATGCCTGAATTAACGGCCCCGCAGTTCTTCTGGCTGCTGCAGGCGCACCACTTTGTTGGTAAGGAAGTATGGGTGTGTGCCCTCCGGAAGTCGCGAATTACGGAAGGGAGTTTGACTGCAGAAAAAAGCAACTACAGAGTCACTCAAGTCACTTTTTGGACCGCTCGTGGCTGCGGGTTTCCCCACTCTGTTGCAAGAGAAATTTTGCCGTGCCGGTCAAGTTCCCTCTGCGTGTCGGCCTTGTTGCCTTGTTGTAGTGTGAGGATATTATTCTTGGTGTCGTTGCCCAAGTCACGAGCACTGAGGTGTACTTGTGCCTCATCCAGCGGGGTCAATCAGAAAGTGGATGTCCAGGTGGCACCCGCTGTGCAGGCTCGCCGATTGCGAAGGGCTCGCGGTAGTGGTAGTTCGTAACGTACTGCACGGCTGCGGTCACCCTCCGGCTGCGTTGCACACCGAGTTCCCCCTCAGGAGTGATAAGAACGAGGTGCGCAGTCAAGCCTATGTTGTCCAGCAATGCGGCACGAAGGCGGAGTGCAAGGAGAGGGGGGGAGACGCCCGGGTTGAGGCCCCTCGCGAGTGCAAACAGACAGTCAGGAGGAGAAACAGCACCGGGGGGGTGTGCCTCGCGAGGCCCTTGAACCGCTCACGGCTTGAGCCAACATGATCTCTCGCTCTGTCTCTCTCTCTCTCTCGCTTTGCTTTGGTCTCTCTCTAATTCTTTCTTTCGTCAGGGCTGTGGTGTAGGGGTCTAATTCTCTCTCTCTCTCTCTTTCTCTCTCTCTCTCTCTCTCTCTCTCTCTCTCTCTCTCTCTCTCTCTCTCTCTCTCTCTCTCTCTCTCTCTCTCTCTCTCTCTCTCTCTCTCTCTCTCTCTCTCTCTCTCTCTATCTTCGCTTCGCTTCGCAGTGGCAAGGTTCGCTAGGCGAACCCGGGCCAAGGCCCCCCCCTTCCCCATTTGTGAGGTGGAAGAGGCTTTGGGGTGTTCAGTGGTAGGGATTTTCCCCAAAGGTAGGTGCGGCTGGTGGTGTGTGCCTGGCAGAAAGACCGACCCTCCCCGAACTTTAGCGCGCATCAGGGCCTCATCACCGCGCTCTCTACAGCACCGTCCTTAGTCCCTCGCCAGGCACACCCCCCTCGCAAAAGCAACGGCTTGTTCCCCGCCTTATGCAGAAACACAGAAACACCAACCGTAAATTCACTAGTGCAGGCGGGTTCCCCCACGAAGCAAGTACATCTCTATGCGGGTGGAGGAAAGTTCAGGTTGCCCCAGTCAAGGCATGCACGAATTGGTATGAAACTCCTGTCAAAAGTGCAGAGAGTGCGTCCTAAGTGCATTTCGAGAAGGGCGAGTCGTGCCCCCAAGTGGTATAGTAGGTTATGGCTCAGCGGCCCGTCCAATTAAGCTTGTCCTGTGCAAGCGTGACTGGGTCAACGGCGTAGAACGGAAGCAACAAGGCGAAGACAGAAGGAAGTGTATTCCCCCACAAGCATGTCACCAGGGCAATTGAAAAAACGTTTTGCTGCGCTCACTCAGTCTCAGCACTCGACCTAGTCGCGGTTCCCCTCCAGCGTGCCATGTGTTCTTGCACTCTTTGCACTTGCCAGTGCATGCTTGGTGTCAGGGTGACCCTTGTACTTGGTTCCCCTTCTGGCATGCCGGGCGTCTCTGTCGGCAGACTGCATCGTCGTTTGTGCATCGGCTCCCCCTCTGGTTTTCACTGGGTCGCCGTTGCCCTTTGTGCATCGGCTCCCCCTCCGGTTCCCTGATTCGCCGTTGTCCTTTGTGCACCGGCTCCCCCTCTGGTTCACTGGGTCGCCGTTGTCCTGCCTCCTTGTCGGAGGGCCTGCCTTCCGGTCCCCATGGCCATTGTGAGTCGACGGCTTGGTCTTGGTCGCGGTTTTCGGGGCAGCCGTCTTCTTCAGCACTCCCCCAGTCCGGCGGCATGTCCTCTAAAGGGCTGGTTGCTCTCCCTGTTGCTGTC